TCTTTGATTCTATGATTCTATTATTCTTTCCTTCTTTCCGTCCCTTTTTTCTTTTTCTCTCTTCTTCCTTCTTTCTCTTCTTTTTCCCTTCCTTTGCCCCCTTTTCTTTCCCTTCTCCTTTCTCTTCTTTCTTCCTTCTCTACCTCTTTCCTTCTTTCCTTTGCTCTTTGCTTCCATCCTTCCTTCTTTGCTTCTCTTCCTTTTTTTCTCCTTCCTTCCTTCTCTCCTTCTTTCCCTCCCTCTTTCCTTCCTTCCCTGGTGCTGGATGAGCCTCCCCCCCACCTTGCTGGACCCACTAATCTTCCTAGCTCCTGCTCTGACTAGAAGAGGGAGGATGCTTGGTGGTGCCTCTCATGCTTGCTGTGTTGTCGCGCAGGAGGGGTTGGGGCCAGGGAAGTCATTTGCATACATGCGCCTTGTTGTTTTCTACCTTTTTGGGATTTTAAAGTTATTTAGCTGTTTTTTGGTGATTTTTTTTGAGTGATGGTCACTCCTTGGGTTAGTAAGTGTCTTGTGACCAAATTTGGTGTCATTTCATCCAATTGTTTTTGAGTTATGTGTGTCCCACAAACAAAGGCGGCCCTAGGTAATTTTCAACCGTAAGCAAACAGTATTTTGGCGCTTCCCCCCCCCCAACCAATCACTGATATATATTTTCTGTTCATCGTGGGAGTTCTGTGTGCCATATTTGGTTCAATTCCATCATTGGTGGAGTTCAGAATGCTCTTTGATTGTAGGTGAACTATACATCCCAGTAACTACAACTCTCATATGTCAAGGTCTATTTTCCCCCAAGAGCGCCTCAAGAGTTCCCCTGGGCTAAATCAACTATACTGCAAATGCTTACTTTGCGTAATGGGTTGAGCCGCCCCTGCCCACAAATGAGCTAATGGACTAGTTGTGAGGGGAGAACTGTAACATGGATAATGGTGTAAGACCAGGTATCTTTCTGAGTCCACCTGCCAAACCAACCATTGGATGAAACGCTTGACCCTGGGGGCACTCCATATTGATGGTTTTTTTTGTCCCAGACAGTCATTATTAGAAGGCCATTGGTGGGAACCCCCCCCCCCCAGACCATAAAGTCCTATAGGGGAGAGGCAACCCCCCAAAGAAAGCTCTAGCAAAAATATTTTGGGGAACCCCCTAAGCCAGTGTTTCTCAATCTGGGGGTCGGGACTCCTGGGGGGTCATGAGGGGATGTGAGAGGGGTCACCAAAGACCATCAGAAAATACAGCATTTTCTGTTGGTCATGGTGGTTCCATGTGGGAAGTTTGGTGCAATTCTATCATTGGTGGGGTTCAGAATGCTCTTTGATTGTAGGTGAACTATAAATCCCAGCAACTACAACTCCCAAATGTCAAGGTCTATTTTCCCCAAACTCCACCAGTGTTCACATTTGGGCATATTGAGTATTTGTGCCAAGTTTGGTCCAGATCCATCCTTCTTTGAGTCCACTGTGCTGTCTGGATGTAGGTGAACTACAACTCTTAAACAAGTCAATGCTCACCAAACCCTTCTGGTATTTTCTGTTGGTCATGGGAGTTGTGTGTGGCAAGTTTGGTTCAATTCCATCATTGGTGGAGTTCAGAATGCTCTTTGATTGTAGGTGAACTATAAATCCCAGCAACTACAACTCCAAATGACAAAATCAACCCCCCCCCACTCCACCAGTATTCAAATTTGGGCGTTATCAGGTATTTGTGCCAAATTTGGTCCAGTGAATGAAAATACATCCTAATATCAGATATTTACATTACGATTCATAATTGTAGCAAAATGACAGTATGAAGTAGCAATGAAAGTTATTCTATGGTTGGGGGTCACCACAACATGAGGAACTGTATTCAGGGGTCGCGGCATTAGGAAGGTTGAGAAACACTGCCCTAAGCCATAGAGCCTACAGAGATAAACCCAAAATTCCCTTCATCCCAGAATGGAGGGGTGCCAAGGTGTATGCCAATCCAAACTCTGCCAGTGACACCTATTTATACAGCCCCCACCCATTTAAATTCCTGACTTCCAGTAGCTTCAATATAGGGTAGGCAAAAAACCCTTCTCTCTGAGGAGGGAAAAATTCCTACCTGGCCCTAGTCAACCAGTATAACTCATATTGAACTGAGAGTGGGAGGGTCGGTGGTGCTGCAGGATGGCCGAATGCAGAGGGGAGGGGGCTACCTGCAGGAAGGTTCCTAAGGCCCCTTCCCTCTGCTGACTGGTCCTTTGCAGGGGGATTCAAGTGCTCCACTCCGGCCATCCTGTTGGCCCCTTCTGTCTGGAGATGTGTGTTTTTTTCTTGTGCAAAAAGCCCCCACATTTATTTTAGGATCATTCCTCTGCAACACTTTGGGACATTCAGACATTGGAAGAAATCCGAGCTGAATTCTTGCCCATTTATGACTGTTCCTAAAACCTTTTCCCAAATGTTGGAAAACCTTCTTTTTTGAGCTGGGGATTTATTTATTTATTTATTTATTTATTTATCGTGTCATCCGCAACCAGAACATTGTATTACATTTCTAACAGAACAAAACAAACAAACAGATTAAAAAACCCACAAATTTTGCAAACTTGGTAGCTGATTAAATGTCCTTTGACCAGTATCTGGCCACTTGGAGTGCCTCTGGTGTTGCCCAAGAAGGTCCTCCATTGTGCATGTAGCAGGGCTCAGGGTGCATTGCAGCAGGTGGTCAGTGGTTTGCTCTTCTCCACACTCGCATGTCGTGGATTCAACTTTGTAGCCCCATTTCTTAAGACTGGCTCTGCATCTCGTGGTGCCAGAGCGCAGTCTGTTCAGCGCCTTCCAAGTCGCCCAGTCTTCTGTGTGCCCAGGGGGGAGTCTCTCATCTGGTATCACCCACGGATTGAGGTGCTGGGTTTGAGCCTGCCACTTTTGGACTCTCGCTTGCTGAGGTGTTCCAGCGAGTGTCTCTGTAGATCTTAGAAAACTATTTCTTGATTTAAGTCGTTGACGTGCTGGCTGATACCCAAACAGGGGATGAGCTGGAGATGTCTCTGCCTTGGTCCTTTCACTATTGGCTGCTACTTCCCGGCGGATGTCAGGTGGTGCAATACCAGCTAAGCAGTGTAATTTCTCCAGTGGTGTAGGGCGCAGACACCCCGTGATAATGCGGCATGTCTCATTAAGAGCCACAGCCACTGTTTTAGTGTGGTGAGATGTGTTCCACACTGGGCATGCATACTCAGCAGCAGAGTAGCATAGCGCAAGGGCAGATGTCTTCACTGTATCTGGTTGTGATCCCCAGGTTGTGCCAGTCAGCTTTCGTATGATATTGTTTCTAGCACCCACTTTTTGTTTGATGTTCAGGCAGTGCTTCTTGTAGGTCAGAGAACGGTCCAGAGTGACTCCCAGGTATTTGGGTGCGCTGCAATGCTCCAGTGGGATTCCTTCCCAGGTAATCCTCAGAGCTCGGGATGCTTGTCTGTTCTTAAGGTGAAAGGCGCATGTCTGTGTTTTACATGGATTGGGGATCAGCTGGTTTCCCCTGTAATAAGCAGTTAGAGCACCTAGAGCTTCGGAGAGCTTCTGTTCAACCATCTCAAAGCTCCCTGCTTGAGTGGTAATGGCTGGGGATGAATAATTGTGAATATTCTTTCAAACCCTAGATGTTACATTATGGGTGATTTAGCCACGTACAAAAAAGTGAACATGGCAAATAATCCTCAGGCCATTTCACTGACTTCAGCAGAACTATAACTGGGTCTGCAGTGTTGCAATTGTTCTCTAGTTTATTTTCCGTGAGGAAGAACAGAAGGAAATGAAGCTTTAACAAGGATCGGAAACATATGTGTAGTCAGACAAGCATAGAATTCCCTCGCAATCCAAAATAGCCATTTTTCTGTGAGAGTAATTACGTTCTTAATGAGCATCTCAGTGCACTGAAAGACACCGCTTTTCTGTAACCTTGACTCCAAGGTGGTTTTGTTTACCTATTTGCCTCCTCATGGCACTTTAGGGAGCTCACAAGAGAAGGCTTTCCTTGAAGTTAGGAAATGTGATTCTCTCCGATGTTATTGTCTGGAGTGCTAGCAAAAGATGGCCATGTCCCAGTGGGGCAGAAAAAGATTCCTTGATCATGGCACTGTAGGATGAAATTATTTTAGCACCAAAGAAATGGTAAAAAATGGGATGCAAGGTGCAGAAGTACATCTAATAGGTCCATAATAAATAAGTAGTGCATTGCAAGCATGATAAACTGGTAGTTGGTGTTTTTTTTTAAATCAGTGAAGCAATTAAATCACTTTGGAATATAATCTGAAATACAAAGGAGTTCTCCAAGATGCTGAAACTAGCTGGGGTCTATGATTAAGCACCATGGATAACTCCATAGAGATGTTTGGTTTCCTGCTACAGAGGATAAGATCCTATGGGTCAATCCCAACTAGAACAGACACACATAGATAAATCCCACTGGTTCAATATTTTAATTGTTGCTAGGACCAACAACAGGATTTAGACTTTTCAGTACCTTCTAACTTGGTGGAAATGGGGAGGTGGAAAAGGGTGATGGGGATGAAGGCTTTTGCTAGAAGAAATACTCTGATTCCCTGTTACTTTGCTATACAAATGGATCTGAAATACAAAGGAGTTCTCCAAGGTGCTGAAACTAGCTGGGGCCTATGATTCAGCACTATGGACAACTCCACAGAGATGTTTGGTTTCCTGCTACAGAGGATAAGGTCCTATGGGTTAGTCCCAACGAGAACAGACACACATAGATAAATCCCACTGGTTCAATATTTTAATTGTTGCTGGGACTAACAACAGGATTTAGACTTTGCAGTACCTTCTAACTTGGTGGAAATGGGGAGGTGGAAGGGGATGATGGGGATGAAGGCTTTTGCTAGAAGAAATACTCTGATTCCCTGTTACTTTGCTATACAAATGGATCTCGAAACTGCACGACACAATACAGTTTGCAACCACAACTAAAACCACAGTAGCAACTGACACATTCTTTCTTCTTGTTGCCCACAGCTTACCCGAGTGCCAGTGGAGTCATGTGGACAATACAAGAGCTGCAGCGAGTGCCTGGGTTCAGGGGACCCCCACTGTGGATGGTGTGTGCTCCATAATACGTAAGTACAGCTGGTAGAGATAAGGACTTGGGAAGGTGATTGCTTCTTTCTTTGCTTCCTTTTCTTCTTCCACGTCCCCTTTTCTCACCACTGGCTGCGTGACATGGAATGAAGCTGCAAATGGACAGGTCTGTCCCTTGTGGGGGGAAGCCGGTCACTCGGAAACAGTACCTGGGGATTCCAAATTTAGAATGTGAGCGAGAGAGAGAGAGCAATGCCAATATGCTTCCTGAAGGAGGAAGCCCAGAGAGTTTCCTCAGATGGCATTTAGAAACAAACAAACACAAACACATTGTCACGGCAAGTGCCAGAGAAAATCAGGCACCTGCAATGTGCAGTCAGAGGAAGTGGAAGCAAGATGACAAAGAGCAGAAGAGGCAGACAAAGCTCCATCATGCCTAGGCCCAGAAGCAGATGAAAGTCCCTTTGTCTGAACTGCCATTGCCCTGACTGCAAAGGAGAGGTCTGCACAACTCCATCATGCCTTGGCTTAAAAGCTGATGAAGCACATCCCCTTCTTCCCAACTGTCTCTGCCCTTACCGTAATGAGAGAGAAGAGCAAGCAGGTACATCTCCATTATGTCTTGGCCCAGAAGCAGATGATAGCCCCACTTCAGTCCAACTGTCATTGCCCTGACTGCAAAGGAGAGCTCTGCACAGCTCTATCATGCCTTGGCTTAAAAGCTGATGAAGCACATTCCCTTCTTCCCAACTGTCACTGCCCTTACTGTAAAGAGAGAGGAGAGGAAGCAGATACAGCTCCATCGTGTCTTGGCCCAGAAGCAGATGATAGCCCCACTTCAGACCAGCTGTCATTGCCCTGACTGCAAGGCAGAGCTCTGCACAGCTCCATCATGCTTAGGCTTAGAAGCTGATGAAGCGTATTCCCTTCTTCCCAACTGCCACTGCCCTTACTGTAAAGAGAGAGAAGAGGAAGCAGGTACAGCTCCATCATGTCTTGGCCCAGAAGCAGATGACAGCCCCACTTCAGCCCAACTGTCATTACCCTGACTGCAAGAGAGAGCTCTGCGCAGCTTCATCATGCCTTGGCTTAAAAGCTGATGAAGTGTATTCATTTCTTCCCAACTGTCACTGCCCTTAATGTAAAGAGAGAGAAGAGGAGGCAGGTACAGCTCCATCGTGTCTTGGCTCAGAAGCAGATGATAGCCTCACTTCAGCCCAGCTGTCATCCTGACTGCAGGGAGAGCTCTGCACAGCTCCATCATGCCTAGGCTTATGAAGCGTATTCCCTTATTCCCAACTGTCACTGACCTTACTGTAAAGAGAGAGAAGAGGAAGCAGCTCCATCATGTCTTGGCCCAGAAGCAGATGATAGCCCCAGTTCAGCCCAACTGCCACCGCCCCGACCTCAGAGCGAGAGAAGAAGAGGCAGAGACAGCTAAAATCAGAAAATTAGCTACATCATGCCTGGGCCTAGAAGAAAATGATATTGAAATTTATGATAGCTGCTACACATGCCACAATCGCCAGAGGTTGGAAAGATAAAACAAGGTGGGACCTGAAAACTTGGTGGTCTTATCTTTCTGAATATTTAATTAGTGATTTCATTTATGAAAAGAAAAATAAATATTTGAATATTCAGTCAAGACAAGATTGGTTTAGAAAATGGTCTTGTTTAATCGAAAAAACGGAAGGAAAAGATAGGTACAGAACTTTAAATCAGGCCTTCCAGACAATTAAATCAATGAATTGATTCAAGTAACCCAGATGGGGGTGGGAGGGAGGTGAGGAGAGGGTGGTAAGGGTGGGTGGGTGGGGAGGGGTTTTTAAAAGGGTGATTAATCAAGATTTATGGTTAAGGGAAGCACAATTGGAACCTGTATCCTAGACATAAAAATTGTAATCAGTTTTTGATATTGTCTTTTGATGCTAAGGTTCATATTGTATTGTTTTGTTATCCAAAATAAAATTTAAAAAATTTTTTAAAAAAGAAGAAAATGAATGCCCATCCCTTTGCCCAACTGCCACTGCCACAACTTTGGAGGGAAACAAGAAGAGACAGACACCATTCCTTCATGTCTAGGCCTAAAAGTAGATTATTATTTGAAACACAACAAGATGAATCCACAGCTGGCACTCTGCTGGCTGTTGAATTGGATCACACGTCAAACACTTCCCAAGTGTCTAGGACTGTGTGATGTATCAGCGAATAATGCATCCAGATCCCAGTAAGGTGGCCTTCTGCAGCTGGCAGATGGTCATTTTTGTCAGCGCCAATTGTGTATTATTTACACAACAAGATGAGTCCACAGCAGACACTCTGCTGGCTGTTGTATTGGATCACACATCGGACACTTCCCAAGTGTCTAGGACTGTGTGATGTATCGGCGATTAATCTGTGCAGATCGTAGTAGGATGACCTTTTGCAGCTGACAGGTGATGATTTTGTCAGAGCTGATTGTGTTTAAGTGCAGGCCAAGGTCTTTAGGCACTGCACCCAGTGTGCCGATCACTGGGACCACCTTGACTGGTTTTTGCCAGAGTCTTTGCAGTTCGATCTTTAAATCCTCATATCGTATCAGCTTTCCTAGTTGTTTCTCTTCACTTCTGCTGTCACCTGGGATTGCAACATCGACAATCCATACACAATCGTGAGGTCAGGAGTATTGTGCTCCAAAACTCTGTCTGTCTGAATTCAGAATTCCGATATGATGATGATGATGATGATAATTATTGTTATTATTATTACCAAGCTTCTGTCTCTCAGACATAGTCTGTATAGGGTTGTTGTATGGTCTGGAGGCATTCTCTCCTGACGTTTCGCCTGCATCTATGGCAAGCATCCTCAGAGGTAATGAGGTCTGTTGGTACTAGGAAAAAGGGTTTATATATCTGTGGAATGACCAGGGTGAGACAAAGGACTCTTGTCTGCTGGAGCTAGGTGTGAATGTTTCAACTGACCACCTTGATTAGCATACAATGGGCTGACTGTGCCTGGAGCAAACTTTTGTTGAGAGGTAATTAGATGTCCCTGCCTGCTTCATCTCTGTTGTGCTGTTGCAATTTTAGAGCAGACAAGAGTCCTTTGTCCCACCCTGGTCATTCCACAGATATATAAACCCTTTTTCCTAGTTCCAACAGACCTCACTACCTCTGAGGATGCTTGCCATAGATGCAGGCGAAACGTCAGGAGAGAATGCCTCTAGACCATGGCCATACAGCCCGAAATAACCTACAACAACCCAGTGATTCCGGCCATGAAAACCTTCGACAATACATAGTCTGTATACTTAGAAGTATTTTAGTATTTTAGTAAATATGTAAATTACATTTTATGATATATGCAATATTACAGTGCAGCAATGCATCATAATATCAAATCTTTCTTTAATTTCATCGACACTACATCCCACTTTTACTATCATGGCAATACCCTGTTGAATTTGTCATTTTGTGAAATACTGTTTCTGGCTAGATTGAATGTTACTGCTAGTTTGTAATACAGCAGACCTATTGAATCCATAGAATTTACCTACATGTTGATTCACCATGAGACTATGGGTCTCCTCTACTGATCCATAGGGCTCAGGATAATGCCTGGGATGTGTTATGGACTAGAAGATGTCTGTATTTCCGGTTGTTTGCCTTTGCAAACTGAATTCCATTTGAAGGAGTAAAACACTAACTCACACACAGCTTCTCCATAGATATTTCTGTGGGCCTGAGAAGGAAGGTTTAAATTTTATCGTTTTAGTTTCCCATTCCCTTCCCCTGCTTTGGCCATGAAAATATATACTGTCTGCTCTCAGGGAGTAACTCAATACTGCTGTTTGCAAGATCGATCGACCTCCGCTTTACCTTTCTTGGTCCAAGTCTTGCAAGTTGCTAAGCAGAGTCCCAGGTAACCCAAGCTGCCTTCAGAGGCCCTGATAAAATCAGATTCTTTGAACAGTTCCTTCTCTATTTCTCGATTTTTCGACTGCTGATCTAACTTGACCAAGGTTTATTCATCCCCTCCACCCAACATCTTTTACTGCTGCTGTTGTGACATGGCCAGAGCCAAGAAAATTTCCTTTTTCAAGTGTAATTCATTTCCATTACTTAGCTTAGCACCTAAAAAATTACTCACTAACATGTTGAACAAAAGTGGTTGAATCACCTATTTATTTTGATATGCAAAATATATTTTTCCTGCCCTGTGTGGTATTCTTCTAGGGCTGCATACAATTCAATGAACTTAAAAACTATTTAAGCAATACAAGGCAATAAGAAATGGTCACATATACCTCATGTAGAAGTCAAGAGCAGGTTTGGGTGGCAAAATGATGGATTTTGATATGATCTGTGGATAGATTGAGGGTCATTCCTCATTCAAAAACTAGGTTCTCCCAAGATGGACTAAGCCCTTGCCTTTTGCCACTTTACTTCAAGATGGTTCCTTTTTAAATAAAAGTTAAAGTTCAACTTAACCTTAACACCAGAGTCCCCGGTAACACAATGGTTTTCATGGTTTTCAAAGTAACGTTCTTCCCCTTTTTCCAGTCTATTTGGCACCCTGAACAACCCATAATTTCTGGTCCATCAAAGGAGAAAGGATCAGAATCGTCAGGTTCTGACCTCATTTTGTATGTTTTTGTCAAAACTTCATTTGCGAAAAATTCATTAGGTTCAAAGTGGAATTCTAATGTAAAGGTCATAGGGTTCCCAGCTTCTGAAAACTTCACTTTAATATCTTTCAAGTGTTTCAGAATTGGCTCATCATGTTCCTGAACCAGATCACTGAGTAAGTCAACATTCTTGAATACAATGGGTTAAACTGCTGAGCTGCTGAACTTGCTGACCGAAAGGTCACGGGTTCAAATCTGAGAAGTGGGGTGAGCTCCCACTGTTAGCTCCAGCTTCTGCCAACCTAGAAGTTCAAAAACATGCAAATGTGAGTAGATCAATAGGTGCCACTCCAGTGGGAAGGTAATGGTGCTCCATGCAGTCCATCCAGCCACATGACCTTGGATGTGTCTATGGACAATGCTAGCTCTTCG